GTGGGAAGGGGCAGAGAGAGAGGGGGGTGGAGACAGAGAATCCCAAGCAGGCCCCGCACCGTCAGCGCAGAGCCCGATACGGGGCTCGATCTCATGAATTGTGACATCATGACCTGAGCCAAAATTAACAGTTGGATGCTCAACTGACTGAGCCACCCAGGAAGCCCAAAACTTGCTTTTTTAGCTTATGAATTTATCCTTGCAATCATAAAACTGGGCCTGGAGTGTGCACCAGAGGAGGCGTGTGAACAAGGTGGCTCTCTGGCTGCCCCTCTGGGAGGACGCGGTCCACCACCAAGTTATCGGGTGATGAAAACAGAAACAATCTGCCACCACTGAGATCCAAGCCCTTCAAGGAGCTGCTCCCACATGTGCATGAAAACCTGTCAGAAGGCAGCCGTGGGACAGAGAGGTGCCACAGCCTCCCAGGAAGCCTCCACATGGTAACAAAATCTGTCCCTTAGTACGGTCCAGATCTGCCCCCAGTTAATCTAAGCCAGCGTTCCTCTGCGGCCTTCCGTGCACAGGACCGCGTGCGCACTTCCTGGCTAGCGCAGCCATGCCCTCGGCTCTGACACAGTGCTCCCCTCAAGAGTTCTGGGATGGGGTTCATCCCAGCGCCTCTCCACCTCCCGGGGACACAGCAGCTGAGCCTTTTAAGGTCCAGCAGACTCTGCTTCCGTGAGTGCGTTTTCTGCTTTTGCAGAGGAAAATGGACCTTTGTGCAGCAGCACGTACCATCTGTCCCATTGTTACAGTTTTTCGCGTCCAGATGAGGCACAGTCACAGGAATTAGGTGTGCTCTCTCACATGGAGCAAAGGCAGCAAAGCACAGGACCCCTGAGTGGCAGGGTCCCCAGCAAGTGCCTGGGTAGTAGCCTCCAAGCGCCATGCAGGGTGACCGAACCCAAAGACGGAGTACCAAAGTAGACGGACCCAGAGACCCGCAGGAGCCCCGTGAGAATGCAGCTGGGTCCGGCCGGCGTGTGCAGCGAGTGCGGAGGCCGAGCTCAAGACTCAGCATCCGTGGAGTGCCGACTGAGGCAACAGGGGAAGGAGACAACTTAGTGGGGGACCATTAGCCCCAACCAAGACACAAAGATCAAACTCTTTAACTGCATCTCGGAATAAATTTCAAGAATATTCATGAAAATACAGAAACGTTCAGCACCCCATAAGGTGAACATAATGATTCCATGTAGCACTACCAGGGGTGCAAACCAGCAGGAAAATCAGATCCATGTGACAAGACCAGTCATCTGGGACTGACCCAGGACTGGTATGAGGTATTAGCACAGCTAACTGCATTCCACAGGGCCTGAAAGTTAAGTTGAGACATGGGAGTCACAGCAGCACCACAGACTGAATTAGCAGGACTGAAAAACTACAGTGTGTGACATGGAAAATACCCTGGACAGGCCAACGGCAGATTAGGCACGGAACAAATGTAGCAACAGAAGCTACCCAAAGTGAAACAGGAAGAAGAGAATTAGAAAACCCGGATCGTCAGTGATCTGTGGGACAGCTTTAGGCAGCCTACTGTGTGCTTAATTGGGGTCCCCCCAAAAGCAGAGAGAATACTTGGGACAAGGGTGCAGAAAAGGTGTTAGAAAAATAACGGCCAAATGTTTCCAAGTTTGACGTAAACTATAACCCACAGACGCAAGAGGCTGGATGCTCCCCAACCATAAGGACCACAAGGGGAACGCTGCTGGCAGTGAGCAGGAAGGGACAGGAACAGCCGCGAGACCGGCACAGTGTGAAGGGGCAGAGGAACAGAGGGGGCGGCACGCCGAGGGTCCCTGGGTGAAGTGTGCTGAGGTGAGGCAGGGCAGCCCAAGCTCCGTTTCTAGAAAAGGTCCACGAGCCCCGGGAGAACACACACCTCCCAACAAGTGAGCCTGGGGTCCGCAGCCATCCCGTGAATCAGGCTCGTTACTTGTGTCGTCCAAATCTGTGTCTTTACTCTGTGAAAACCTGGTGAGCCGACAGGAAGCACGAGAGGGTCAGGGTGAATGTCGCACCTGTTCCCATGGCTCCTGTCTGTGTTTGCTTCGCACACTTCTCTCCTTTCTGTCTTCTCCAGTCACAGCACTATGTGTTTGGTGGTAGTAAGCACAGTTCTCTGTCATCTACAAACGTGGTTTTACTTTTTCCTCCGCGTAGCACTTCTGGGTATGTGACTCCAGGTCAACAGCTGTTTTCTGTCATGCTTTGTGGGAGTTATTTCCTCCCTCTGTCCTTACAGCCAGAAGGTCTGCTGTCCGTCTGCTCTTCCTCTGTCGGTGATCTTTCCTCCGGCTGTTCTTAAGGTCAGAGTGTCTCCGGTGCCCCGTGCTTCCGTACGGGAGGTCGAGGTGTAGATCTCACCTGTGCAGCTGGCTGGACAAGAAGCCACCGGCACGTGTTTTGTGAGTCCTGGGCGACCCTGCCACTACAGTCAGTCCCTTCTCGAGGGCTTTGTGGACGCGTCTGAGGCCCACCTGCCCCCCGCGCCCGCCAGCCCTCCCTCCACGTGGCCCTCACGGCTGCATCCACATTCTGGCAACTTCTTCAGATTACTTTCCAGTTCAAGAACTCTCTCTTTGGCTATGTTTAATCCGGTGTTTAATTTATCCAAGTTTTTAACAAGTACATTTTTTATTTCTAAAAATTCTTTTCAGCCTTTAAAAAAAATTTTTTTTACGTTTATTTATTTTTGAGACAGAGAGAGACAGAGCATGAAGGGGG